GTGTTGTGCGTACAATTTGCATGGTGTTTGTTAACTTTAATAAGGTTGATCTAGTGTTTATATTTCTAGATCTATCAAGGTAACACGGACATGAATACTGTAGTAAAGAATGCTATATCACAGCCTTTCCTTGCCACAGCCGTCAGACTAATGCCTCAAGCTTGGAATGCCTGTATTGCCATGAGAATAGAGTTGTATGGATGCAAAGAGGGTTCCTTATAATGTGACAAAGAATGCCGGAAACAAGATAAAAATGCACTGTGCGCAAACCAGGTTATCTTTCTGTGCGTATATCTGTTGTTATGACTGTCTGTCTGTTGTTCTGTATGACTGTCTGTCTGTTGTTCTGTATGACTGTCTGTCTGTTGTTCTGTATGACTGTCTGTCTGTTGTTCTGTATGACTGTCTGTCTGTTGTCCTGTATGACTGTCTGTCTTTTGTTCTGTATGACTGTCTGTCTGTTGTTCTGTATGACTGTCTGCCTGTTGTTCTGTATGACTGTCTGTCTGCCTATTTCGCGCACGAAACGATCAATTCATAACTTATTTCCTTTAAAAAGATGAGGTATACACTTTCTTGCTTAAAATGAAAAACAGTTTAACATCTGAATTTTGTCCGTTCAATTTAAAACTTTATTTAAAATTGACATTTGTTTGAAAGAAAAAACTTAAGATTTTATGCGATAAATTTTGAAGTTCAATGAATTAAAAAGTCTTAACCAAAAGGTCATTCAGTTTAGATACTTTTGATAGAGATCTCGAAAGATGTCCTTAACTCCTTAACGTGATCGTCAAGTCACATGTTCCACATGTTTATTAACCTCTTCAGTCCATTGCTTGTTTGTAGACCTATTTTCGTTGCTATATTTACCTTGTATTCAAGAAAACGTACAAGCAATGGATTGAAGAGGTTCTGGCGGAAAGTGGTGACAGTTGAAGACTAATTTTTAAAAAATAGGGCTTTTGAATATCTAACTTAACGTAATTAGAGAAAAAGGAAATGATTTGAGTTGTCTTAATGCGTAAAAGACTGACGAAAAAGGTATAGAAACTGTAAGTTGACGATGACATTGAAAAAAGTGCTTTCAAATATCTAACTTAACGTGCATTAGAGGAAAAAGCAAATCATTTGAATAGGACTATTACTTTAACAAAAGTTGTCTTAGTGCGTAATAGACTGACTAAAAAGATATGGGAACTAAACTTGACGATGACATTGTTTTTTAAATAGGGCTTTTAGATAGATATTTTACTTAACGTGCATTAAAGGAAAAACCAATGGAAAATAATTTGAATAGAACTATTTCCTCAACGTAAACACTTTAAAATTGGTGTGTAATGCGTTATTCAATAGGGTTTCGTTTTTTGAGCAGTGGTTCACATTCACAGCTACTCAAAAACCATTAATCTTTAATTTGAAAAGATGTGAATATGTTTCTTTGGACCAAAAGTTTATATACGAAAAGAATGACTAGAAGTTTTTTGAGTAAGATATTTCGGACGATACCCATCGTCCATTATCAGTTTAATGACTCACTATAAGTGTATTACAGTGAAATACTATAAAGCCTTAGGGACTAAAGTCCTGAGAAAATTTACGATGCCGTAGGTGAAAACCGAGAATTCTTCTTTAGCTATCTTAAATGAAGATATAGAAATATAGATAAGTTATAGTGCTTGGGAACGAGGTTATTCTGGGCGAAAGCCCTTGGAATTAAATTCGGAAAAATTAAATTCCGACCTCGCTGGGAATCGATTCTATATTTCTATATCTTCATTTATTTCAGAAGTGCTACGCGGTCCACATATTCTCATCTTTTTATCTATCTTAATTCTTTCCTCTTTTTGCAATTATCCATCTTTGTCCCGTCAATTTCCCAACCAACTTTTTCCGTTTTTATTGCGATAGGTAATTATGTACGCAATTAGAAATTGTAAAAAGAGAAAAGACAAAATACGAGTATAAAGAGTAATCAGACATGGTGAGATTTGCACACAGGATAAAAATAATGGACAGGTGAAACCTAGTCAGGTTGACAGTCATGGTTAATTGTAAACATCACTTGACCTGACCTAATCTATCGATACCTGAGAGATTATATTTTTAAAATTTAAAGCTAATCTTCAAGCTGTCATCGTCGATCAATGTTACGTGTTTGTGTTCCGCCCAAACGTTAACTGACAAGACAAACACTACTTATAAACTATACCCCGATGATAGCTGAGATATTTATTTCGCTTTAAGTTCTCTTCGTCAATGGTACTTGCTTGTAGAATATTCGCTAGTGTGATTCGGAAACGTAACAAATTCATATGTAGTGCTAGTGCTTCTGTCATTTTTTCAACAACAGCTCAAAGGTTTCTCTCAAAGGATATGATCAGCCACCTTAATTTAGGTTTACAAAATTATCAGGACTTCAGTTTATGGGATTAATCTTTAAGAATGGTTTTAATTTAGCGCGCGTAACGATCAATTTATAACTTATTTCCTTTAAAAAAATGAGGTATACACTTTCTTGCTTAAAATGAAAAACAGTTTAACATCTGAATTTTGTCCGTTCAATTTAAAACTTTATCTAAAATTGGCATTTGTTTGAAAGAAAAAACATAACAGAACATTATGCTGACAGCATAATGACATTTATGTCGAAGCATTATACTGTTGTTAGATCCGGTAATCCAACTAGATGAATGAATGTTTCGACATAAAAGATTTTATGCGATAAATTTTGAAGTTCAATGAATTAAAAAGTCTTAACCAAAAGGTCATTCAGTTTAGATACTTTTGATAGAGATCTCGAAAGATGTCCTTAACTCCTTAACGTGATCGTCAAGTCACATGTTCCACATGTTTATTAACCTCTTCAGTCCATTGCTTGTTTGTAGACCTATTTTCGTTGCTATATTTACCTTGTATTCAAGAAAACGTACAAGCAATGGATTGAAGAGGTTCTGGCGGAAAGTGGTGACAGTTGAAGACTAATTTTTAAAAAATAGGGCTTTTGAATATCTAACTTAACGTAATTAGAGAAAAAGGAAATGATTTGAGTTGTCTTAATGCGTAAAAGACTGACGAAAAAGGTATAGAAACTGTAAGTTGACGATGACATTGAAAAAAGTGCTTTCAAATATCTAACTTAACGTGCATTAGAGGAAAAAGCAAATCATTTGAATAGGACTATTACTTTAACAAAAGTTGTCTTAGTGCGTAATAGACTGACTAAAAAGATATGGGAACTAAACTTGACGATGACATTGTTTTTTAAATAGGGCTTTTAGATAGATATTTTACTTAACGTGCATTAAAGGAAAAACCAATGGAAAATAATTTGAATAGAACTATTTCCTCAACGTAAACACTTTAAAATTGGTGTGTAATGCGTTATTCAATAGGGTTTCGTTTTTTGAGCAGTGGTTCACATTCACAGCTACTCAAAAACCATTAATCTTTTGTGCGAATCATTCAAAATAGAATTGCTTTTCTGAATGGTATAATATTAGTGTATAGAACGCAAAAGCTTACTCTTGAAAATTCGTTTCGTCAATATAACCATATTTTGAACTTAGAGCTTGTTAGACGTCTGTTTCATATGGAACGTGAATGAAAAACTCTAACTCTTGTCTGTACTAAGCTGAGCCCTTTTCAATTTGTAATGAATACTAGTGATAAGAAGGCAGAACCGTCTGCATATGGATACACTTTGCCCAAAGTATTGAATGTACACGGAGTGAAGCTGTTGTAAGCCAAGGTTCGTTTTGAAGGCAGAGGACACAATTTTTGCCTATCCCGCAGATCGACTTTAGGATTGTAAATAACTATTTTTTTGTCCATTTACTATTTATATTGTTTTGCAATTTCCCTCCCTTCTTGTTAAGCAAGCCGTTATATCCCAGGATACCGGACTGCGGTCAGAGATAGAAAATACAGCCCTCTCAAACAGCCAATCAGAACGCACAATTATTGGGATACCGGACAGGAAGGGAGGAGGGGGTGAGGGGAAGTAGAATACTATAGCGTAACAGATATATGCCTATAAGAAATAAAGTTGATTGATTAATTGAGGTTAGAAAAGTCATGTCATCTTATTTTATTTTATTTCATTTCATTTAACTTTTCCCTTGAGCGCAGGGACATCACAACAACAGTCTCACCAATTACTGTAGTGTGAGCACGGTCACTCAAGATGGTTGTCAGTACCAGGTCCTTTACGTCCACCTTATAAAGGGTTGAATATAAAATGAAGACAGACAGGGCCTACGGTTTTAAGTGCTTCTCGGAGAAGACTTGAAGGTCTAATCCAACATATCAAACAATGAGTGTCGAAGCTCTCTTTCCCGGTCTTATAAAAAGGGACTGGGGAGAAGCTTAGCAGCCAGGTCGTCAATGGTTTTCCTCTACCTCCCAAAATTGATTTTTTTTTTTCAATTTTCCTGTAGTTTTTTCTTGTTTTTCGTCTTCGCCAAGCTCGTAAATGTCTCTCAGCCGTTTCGCCAGCCGACGAACACGCTTGTCCGCCATCTTTGACCTCAGGGTAAAGACCCGCAATCTTTCTCAACTCCAACTTTGACACTAGCGTATGGAGCAAAACTTGATATGGTCCTTTTGACGTAATTACAAGGGCAGCACTTTATCCTCAGTTATTTTCTAAAACAACAAATACGACAAAAATTGCGGTTCAAGCCTCGGCCGGAACACTCACTCTGACATGGTTTAAGAGGCTTGAACCATGACCTCCCGCATTTATTGTATTAAAACATAAAGAAATGAAAGTTTTGGATCGGTTGATTGATTGTACTTGTGTTGTGTTGTGTTGTAATAATGCTACTACCCTGCCTCTATGTTCAATGAGTTTCACACTACAATTATATGGTAGAGTATCTAGTCTCTTTTCAGGATTTTCGCTCTAACTAGAGAGTCTTTAAGCGCTTTATTCCTCTTGTAAGAGACGAAAGTAGGATCAGGGAAGATCCTTTTCAGTTTTTGGTTGCCAGTAATGAGGTGCCAATGCTTCATTAGAATGCTTTTGATGTTCGGTACGGCTGGGTTGTAGTAGGTAACAAACAGACAGACAACAAAAAATAAAACTAAAATCATTTGCATCACTTTCGTCTTTGAAAAGGGGAGTAAAGAAAAAACATGAAATAATGATTTGATATTCCAGAAACGCAGCGTCTATAGTCGCTTCTGCAGATGCACATTTATTATTTTATCATCATATTGCATTTCTCCTACTTTTTGCGTGTTTTTTTGTTTTTTGTTTTTTGTTTTTTTTCCTGCGAATATAATTTTACCAACGGAAACTTTGGCATTCGACACTGATGTTTCTAAGTGTGTTGCCTAATTTTACTCCTACTTCCTTTTCTTAATCTCATTCTTTTCTTCTGAAAGCATTTATTTTTATCAAGTAGGCTGGAAATCCAACGTAGAATCAATTGATGCTACAAGATATCGGCTCTTGAAAGTTCAGACTAAATGTCGCTTCATCCAAGTAAATGATCGCTATAATCTAGATAGTTACTGATTGCACATTGTAGGCATTAAGCACTGCCACTCGAACAATAAAGGCACTGAGCGCTGCCATTGGGCAATTAAAAAGCTTTTTTTAAAGTGCTTTCAAGATCGATGTCATGTATTCCTAGTAATGCTAGGTATACTTTGTCAAGCACTCTCGGCTGTACAGCATGACAATGCAAGCATTTTCCACCTCGTGTTAGCGGACAGAATTACGTAAAGCGTTTCTCATCTTGTTTATCGGCGGCGAAAAAATCGTAGTACGTGCTCTAGTTTCTTTAGTTACTTTACTTTACTTCATCGTTTGCTATTTTTACCACAAGAAGCGAGCATTAGTCTCTTTCTCTTATTTTCTCTTTTTCCTATTCTTTCCCTTAATTTCTTTTTTGTTTTTTTGTTTTCTCCCTTTTTCTTTCACTCTCTTTTCCTTTCCTTTTCTCGTGAGATGTTGCACTAAGGAACAAACTACAGACCTCTTGCTTATCCCGAGATCAAACCAAGGAGCTTTTGCTAGCTAGGAATTGTACTCAACACCCAGGCTCCACTCTTTCCTTTACAAGTCAAGACAAGTGTGTGAGGAAGTGATTGAGAGCTCCCCATGAGGAGGTACATGAAAGCCCTTCACATTTGTATGCACCATCTTGTTTATGGATCATCAATTAAGAGTGGCAAGTGCATATGATATGGGACTAATAATAGAATGTAGAAAAGTACCCCCAAGGTGATGGGGGCGCTTAGTTAACCAAAAATGATTTTCTTTCATAAGCTGCTTTGACATGTCATTAATTAAATAAATATTTTATAATTGCCCCTAAAAACAACGGCACTGGAAACAGCATTTCCAAGAGCCTCAGGCCCCGTCCACACTATGCCGGATAAATTTGAATCCGAATTTTTATTTATTCGGTTAGGCCTACCGTCCACACTAGTTCGGGCGAATCCGGAACAATTCTTCACCGAAAACGAATTTTTTCGAATACGGTCTCCAGAGTGGAACAATTTGAAAACGCCGGCTAGCCGTATTAATGTGGACGGAGAACATTGACGTCATGATTAGGCTTCCCCCCTCCCCTCCCTCTTCAAACTATGCTCCACAGTTCCTAGAATAGATCAAATTAAGAGGCACACGTGACATTGGCTTACTTTGTTAGGTACAGACTGCTAATCTGGCTGATTATTGGCTTTATTTAAAATGGTATAGGGATACTTTAGACTATGATCGCGCAGATCTTCAGTTGTCGCTGTTATCATCTCTATATCTATATTTTCTAACTGTATTTCTCCCCCAAAGGTGGGTTAAACTACTCCTTAATATCGTAGTGACATGGCGATGAACAGTGCAGCTAAGGACGAGTGTAATCTTAAAGAAAAAGCAGATGAAGATTCTTTGGAGACCGAAGTTAAAGAAAAACGAGTTCTCAGGTAATGTAAACAAAAAGTTTTCAACAAGGTTAATTCGTACTTTTCTATTTGTGAAGCAGTCGTTATTTTTTTCTTATGCAAGTGCATAATGTCAATGTTCGCTTGAATTGGGTATTTTTCTAATATCATCTAGCTTATCGGGCTATTTGTTTCAAAATAAACGCGAAGAAAAACGAAATAAAAACTGTTCAATTCTTACTGTAACGGCCTGTTAAATTTCCATTTTCCAATTTCATATATTTGGTATTTGGTTAAGAAATATTTGAATACATCGCACCAGGAAAGCACCTGTACTGTTTAATAAAAATTTAAGAAAATTATTCGGGCTTTTGAAATTGTGAAAAACAAAGTTTTTTTGTTTAGAACTCGATTTTGAGTTTTTGAGTTTTTTAAATTTTTTTTACTGTCAGTGACCACAAATTATTCTTACTATCTCTGAGCTAGGCCGGAACTATATAACGAAAGTCTAGAATGTATAACATCTGTTATAAAAAGTAAATAGAAATAATGAACGCAATTTTCTATAACAATTTTACCGACAAGAAAACAAAGTCAATGTCAAGTTWAAAAAAAGAGCTTGTCAAATTTCAAATCAAAATTTTACAAATGATGTGTCAACTTAGATAATTTTCAGATTCTAGTTAGAGTTCGGGAAGTAATATTTCAAAGCCGACAATGAGGACTGGACGGGATTTCAAGTCCAAAAGTAGTTAGTTGCAAGGACTTGAAATCCCGTCCAGTCCGATTTGGAGGCTTTGAAATGGCTTCTCATATCATAAATAATTCGGGAGGTTATTTGTTTAGGATTGAAAGGCTTAAGGGACAGATATGTCCCTGAACTGAATTAATTTTGATCCAGTCCAAGGACTTGAACAAAATTCATTCAGTCCTTTCACAGGACTTTACTGGTTTCAAGCCACATCATGCATGTGACCCGAAAATAGCCCATTGATTGGCTGGTTTACTCATGATTTATTAATGAGTATGAGAAGTTATTGAATCGTCCGAGAATATGGAATCATTAAAACTATGTAAAAAGAGGAGAAAGAAAACCTACTGGGGATTGGTACTATGACCGAAGCCTTGCAAAGCATTGCATTTTTAAACTAAAAAAGTAAAATATCCGCAATTTTGGGAGAAACCCTTTCGGAGTAAAAGTAAACTTATACAGTCAATGTCATTAACGTTGTCCACCGAAAAAAGACATTCACGCATTTAGAAATTTAGACTAAAAGAAATATCACGTGTTTCCTCGAACGTTCTGGCATAAAACAAACGCTGAAGTACAGTTCTCCATCTTAAATCCTCAGTAAATGGTCGGGGCATTCTGGATTTTCGATTCACGAACTGAATTTTACATTTAAAGTTCAGGCTCACTTTAGTCTAAATGCGTAAATGTGTTAATGTCTTTTTTCGGTGGACAACGTTAATGACATTGATTGTATTTATGGGAATTGATATGACCAGTTATTTACAGCTGTTCAGTAGGGCAGACTTTTAGATCTTTGATTTCCAGTCAAAACTAAAATCCGGCTCATATTAACATATTAATTAAGTAGATGTGATGTAGGCTAAACGTACTATGTTCTCGATATCATTTTAAGATTTGTTCTAAGTATTTTTAGGCCACAATACAAGGGTGCTTGTGGGCTCATTAGACCTATCGTAAAATATATTTTATTTATTTATTTATTTCTAAAAAAATATGAAGTTGATAGTGTTGTGACGTCAATCGTGATATCCTCTTCACTTACTCCGACGAAGGACTAACGTCCGAAACGTCAGTTTCACAAAGCTTTTTACGGTGATTCGCAATTTTTTCACAAGTTCCAGCTGTTTTATCTTAATGTGGCTCATTTCGTATTCACCAGCATTTAGCTCTTTCTTTGCTTCTATTTTGCATATTTTGAGGCTCAAATCAATCATTATCTTTGTTTAATAGCAATTATTATACGACACACTCAATTTCCCGTGCATTAACACCATTTTCCCGTGCTTAATTTCCCGTGCATTAGTACCATTTTCCCGTGCTTAATTTCCCGTGCATTAGTACCATTTTCCCGTGCTTAATTTCCCGTGCATTAGTACCATTTTCCCGTGCTCAATTTCCCGTGCATTAGTACCATTTTCCCGTGCTTAATTTCCCGTGCATTAGCACCATTTCAGAGGAATAATACACGGTCTGTGAATATGTTTTTGAAGGAGTTTTTTTTGCTGACGTCAGTGCGAGGAAATTTTCTTTTTTTTTCCCTTTGTGCGGCTTGCGTCAGTGGTTTGAGTTCGTGAGTTTCAAGTTTGCTTGCTTACGATAAAAATAGTAATTTCTCGCACGCTGATTGGTTATTTTTCAATAAGAGGACAGGCAGATAAAGCTGACGTCAACGAGCGCGCGCTCTTTCCGTTGGTTGTTTTGATCACTAAAAATGAGAAGTTTTTATCGTTTTTGTTATTGTAAAAAACAAATAGACATAAGTTTTTTATGTGTCTGGCCTCTTATTGACGATAAATTTCGTCATCACATTGTCAAAGTAGTATGCGGATCCACACTACTTTGACAATGTGATGACGCAATTTATCGTCAATAAGAGGACAGACACAAAAAACTGATCTCTATTTGTTAAAGTGAGGCTATCGGGCCGATACAATGCTTGTTGTCTCATTTGCATCTCATTTGCATCTCATTTGCATGCATCCATAATAACTGCTATTTTGTATGATCATGAAAACAACGCGGTACAGATCGGCGTCTCATGTCGCTTTTCTCATGACAACGGTGCTGTATTTACGTACTTTGAATGATCGAATGATAGTCATGTACGCGGCGGTTTTAATGGCTAAAAGTAACACAGCTGATTATCACGTGTGACGGCAGTAATAGTATCAGCGAACCACAGGAAACCCAATTTAGATACTGCTTCTATTGTAGTATTTGTACACAGTGTACAGTATTCAGTAAGAATGGCAGGGACGTCATTTTTGCTTGATTTGTCCATTCACTTACGTTTTAGAGGACACTATTTTTTGAAAGAATCACATGTGTATTTATACTAAAACAATTATTTGCCTCAGGCCCAGTGATTATTAGGGAATATTTACCTCGCCGCTCGAATAATTGTTAAATAATTTTTATATCGATTTTTGCAAATTTCTACCATAAAATTACCAGTTATGAATCTGATTTCGGAAATAAGAATTATATCCCAAAGCTACAAATTCGGCTTATAGAGTTTCCGATCCAAGATTTATTTAACCGACGTCCAGTCCAGTCCATCAATTCACGATTCCTAGTTTTCCAAAATGAATAATCTCTTTAGAGTTTTAGCATCTTTTCACTATTGGCAAAAAATGATTATTTTCCTTTCAAACGAAATCTTTGTCGACCGAATAGATAGTCAATAGATATTGGTAGCACGGTGGAAAGTCTCGAAAGCACTAAAGTGTTTGATTGTGTCAGATGACCAGCGAGATCATATTATCATACTTGCACTAAGTTGTACGAATGGATGATAACTAGTAGAGAACTAGTGTAGAAAACAGTAGAAACTAAGGGATAAATTGAATCACCGTAAGAATCTTTTTTAAACTGATGACGTTTCGGACGTTAGTTCTCCGTCGGCGTAAGAGGAAAGAAAAGATGGATAAGTGGTCATAAGTTCTACGAACTTCCTTAATGTGATTTTTATGACTGTAAGTTTGACTGAAGTATGATTAACCTGCAATAAAACTACGTGCCTGTATATATGTCCAATTTGAAAATAATTTAGTTCAAAAGAAAGTCCTCTGACTGCCCATTTAGCTTCGGCCTACTCTACAGCCTTGTCCAATTTTGGAAGCTTTTCTTCCATCGAATTATTTCAAAATTGGACAGCATGTAGCCTTCTACATCATACAGATGTGTCTTTTTTTGGTTTGCTTGCATGTTTGATTGTTTGTTAGCTTGATTCCTTGCTATGTTGGTTGGTTGGTTGTTTGCTTCTTTTTGTTCGACTTTTGATGGCCTGTTAAGGTAGTAGAGGTACGACAATGAATCGTGCAACATGTCGTACAACGTTAAGGCTGCGTTCATAATGTATGGCAGAGGGGGGAGGGGGGGGGGGCAAAGGAAAAATTTAAAAGTCCCGAAAAAATCTCAACACCCCCCTTTAAAGACATGCAAAAAAATACGATCCCCCCCCCCTAAGCAAGGCTTGTAGCTTCTTCCAAAAATTGTGCATCCCCCCCTATTTTTCTGATAAATATTTGCCCATCCCCCCTTTTTCCTACCAAAATTTTCCCGATCCTCCCTCAATTTCACCTGCCCCCCTCTGCCATACATTATGAACGCAGCCTAAGCATATGTTTCTTTACCTTTATCATCATGTCCTCTAAACATCAACAGGTTTCGTATGAAAAACGTCTTCACTGAGTCTCGAAAAGTCCATCCCCTTGCATCAAGCACCAGCTCAATAAACGAGTCATGTCAGTACACCGCCAGCTCCCGAAGACACAGGATCTGGCTTACCACCAAGATACTTGGAGTCTCGGCTCTAGCGATACTGGGGCTCATTACGTTTGTAGCAATGGACCTAAAAGAGTCTCTAAATTCGATGGAGATTGAGAAAAAGATTCAGCGCGATGTGGAGTTCAGTATAAAAGTAGCTGATTTGATTCACTTGCTCCAAGTCGAGCGAGGAATGACTGTTTTGAGTATCAGCTCAAACCAAACTAAAAACGTCACCGATAAATTAAAGTTGAAACGACAGCTTACGGATAAGGCCATGGTTAACCTAGACAACTGGCTTGAAGGCCACAATGAGCCGACCTTTGGATCTAAAATAACTTCTAAAACGAAATTGGAAATTGAAATCCATAGAAGAGCTATAGGCTACGGCGAGAACTCTACAATCAACGACGAAATCTACTTCTACACGAATATCATTGAGGAATCGTTACAGATCTTGTTTGAGAGTTTAAGAAACAACTTTCCTGAGAATATTATGTTTGATCTTCTTGGTTATCAGATGTTCCTTACTGCTAAAGACATGACTGGGATAGAAAGAGCACTAGGAGGATCATACTTTACAACTGGCCACTTCAACACAACAGAGATGCTTTGGTTTGCTGAGAAACGTATGATTGGTAAGGAAAACAAGTAGTTACAGTTTACAGTTTACAGTTTATTTCATAAAATTTAATACAATATATAATAGAATACATGAGCCCCGGGGAGGGGGGGGGAGGGGAGGGGGACTCTCTTGAAAAGTGTAGGGGGGCTTGACGGACGGTTTTGAAAATGACCCTAAAAGGTACGCATAAATTAACTGAGATGCTGATTTCAGACCCTAAGAGGTACGACCACATTTAAACAGCTTTTCCAACCATAATATTCTTGTATGACGTTTGATATTTTCTGACCCTAAAAGGTACGGAGTCAGCCGGGAGTCAGCCGGAGACCCTAAGAGGTACGCGAGGTTTCATTTTCGACCCTAAAAGGTCCGTCGAACCCGCCTACCCACTTTTCAAGTGAGTCCCCCCCCCCCCCCTCCCCCACGGGACATGAGCCCGCAAATAGCACAGCTAATCGGGGCAGGCTCGTGTTTACAAAGCAAAAACATTACATTATGTTAAATTACAATAAATTAATAGAGGAGAGACGAGAGAAGAGGAGAGAAGACGAGACAACCCGACACGACCGACACGACAAGACAAGACAAGACACGAACATTACATAAAAACTTCACGATTCAATTATGCAATTTTTGTTTTTTCCTGCTCCCCCAAGGTGAAGCTTTCCTAAACATGAGCTTGAAGTTGATGCCAACGCTAAAAACTCTTTTTGAACAAGCTACCAGCGAAACTACGAACTTGATAAAACGATTACAGGTAGAAAGATCAACCATCTTACAAAACGACCATCGAGCACCCAACACTACTGCCGGGAACGAATGGTTCCATCTGATGTCCAAGTACATTGATATGCTTCTTAAGATACAAAAGTCTGCTGGAGAAGAAATTATAGGCGTACTAGAAAAAAGAGCGAACGACGAAGAAAAAAATTCAATTATCCGCAGTGCTGTTTTAGTGCTTGTTCTCATCCTGACGCCATTACTCGTTCTAGCTGTCTCGCGTATAACAAACACCATCCAGAAATACGCAGCGAAGCTTGAAGACATCACACTGAATCTGAAAGAAGAACAGAAACGAACAGACAACGTGTTGTCGGCCATGTTTCCCAAGTCTGTAGCAGAGACCCTGAAGAGAGGAGAAAAGGTCAATTCTGAATACTTTGACAGTGTGACGGTGTTCTTCAGTGACATCGTCAATTTCACCAACATCTGTGCATGCATATCACCTATCGAGGTTACATCCATGTTGAACAGTATCTACAGGTATCTTTATTGGTAATAGTTAGTCATCATCATAGTGATAGCAATGGTTACCATGGTTATGATAGTGGTCGCCATAGTTATAGCAATGGTTACCATGGTTATGATAGTGGTCGCCATAGTGATAGCAATGGTTACCATGGTTATGATAGTGGTCGCCATAGTTATAGCTATGGTTACCATGGCTATGATAGTGGTTACCATAGTGTGGCTATGGTTACCATGGTTATGATATGGCCTTCAACAATTTACTGCCTTTGCTATGGTAAGGGTACTTTATGGTATTCATAGTGTCACCAGTCAGTTGTTACTTAGGTGATGGTCGGGTGCACCAAAATGGGTAAAGTAGTCGGGATATTAGTGATAGTGCTTGCATTATGGTAGTGGTCACCATTTCAATAGCAATACATAGAATAGTAATGTACTGGTTGCCACAATAATGGCATTGATTTGTATGTTTATTGGCAGCGCCTTCGACGACAAGATCGATAAGTATGACGTGTACAAGGTGGAAACAATAGGAGATGCTTACATGGTTGCATCTGGTCTTCCTGTCAGAAACGGAGGTAAACACGTCGATGAGATCTGTCGTATGGCACTGGACCTCGTCAAGGTAACGGAGACTTTTAAACTCGATGAAGTCCCTGGTGAGACTCTCCTCATCAGGGTTGGGATACACACAGGTAAGTAAAATACACCTAAATACCTTTGTATGTAGATTGCCCTTTTCAAACCATGTGATTTAAGTCTTTTATATTTTAAACGGATTCCAGAGTTCACGGGGCAAACGTGCGAACTCCCGCCAAATCCATATGCAGCATTTTGTCGCTAGTACTAAGGATTGATCTTACTGATATGCATATGCTCATCCCCAGGTCCCTGCGTGTCTGGGATTGTGGGTAACAAGATGCCAAGATACTGTCTGTTCGGGGACACCGTCAACACAGCCTCAAGAATGCAAACGACTGGAGAACGTGAGTAAAACTGCAATTGGACAATGGAAAAAAAGACAAAATAAAATCACTAGAGGGAATCACGTGATACAAAAAGCGATCTCGGCACCTGCTTAAAATCTTATCGTTATTTTTAATGATTTTTTACGTATTTTTCTCGTCTCAGCCCAGAAAATTCATATCAGCGAAGGTTCCCAGAAGGCTTTGCGGCCCTTCCGTCATTATGTACTGGAATTCCGAGGGTTCGTAGATGTTAAGGTGAGAATTTTATTCATTCATTAACAGAATATAGAAAATAGCTTTTTTGAACAACAATTTGCGCGGTTTCACATACGTCTTTAGACATTTATTTACGCAAGGCTTTCGGACCTTTAGCATACCTTCAGAGATATAAAGAATGCAAAATTTAAGTTACATTCACAATGTATATACGTTATCATAACCTCGCGCTTAGGTTCAAGCATTTTTGTTTAAGACAGATTAACTTTTTTTGTTGGCAACAAATACAACGTCCAACCCTCTATTCCTACAAGTCATAGCGTATTTACAGCTTTTGCCCTTGAATCAAGCGATGTCACTACGTTTCATAGGCCCATTCTAAGTTCGATAAAAGTTGATGCAATCTGGTCTAGCTTGAGTGCGAACGGCACCATGATAAAAGGTGTTTGAACTAAAGCTAGACGACAAAATATGCACCATGCACATATCTCAAGAAAGATTTGTAAGAGATACTATTATCTTTGCTATTCAGGCATCAAAACTTTAAAAAAAATTCATGTTCATTATGTGTTAATTTTTAATTCCAGGGCAAAGGCGAAATGCAAACCTACTGGCTCCATTATAATGAATCTATTTCTATCGTCGATTGTTGTAAATAATCCTCTAATGTCTTATATTTTCTCCTGCATCACATGAAGGAACAGAGTTGTAAATATCAGTACCTGACAGTCTGAAGGTTTTCAAAAAGAAGCTTTTTAAGATTTTTTCATGATCATATCACGAATTTATGATGGTTTTTGGAATTTTCGACCGAGTCCGGGGCGTTGTGGTCGCGCGCGCTGGTGTGGGCTTGGGTTGTTGGCGGAGCGATCTGGCGTGATTCCTAATTCGTGAATCACGCCAGGTCGCGCCGGGTCGTTTTTCCACGCCTTGGGCCACATATCGGCGCGCTCGCGGCCGAGTTCTCGATTCGGTCAATTATTTTCACTTATATTTTAATTTTTTCTTATATTTTTATTTTTTATTTTTATTTTTTATTTTTTAAGGACCTCCCTGAAAATCATTTTTATGAGTGGAGTATCCTCATTAAATATTATTATTATTATTATTATTATTATTANTATTATTATTATTATTATTATTATTATTATTATTATTATTATTATTATTATCAGACGCAGTTCATAAGCACATCTTAGGTTTATTCATGTGCCAAACTGGAATAATTTTGTGCGCCCAGAGTACATGTTAGTCATTATTTCATTTGTCATTAAAGTTGTATTATTATTTTCGGAAGCCGCGTTTCTTTAAATCTCCTAGTGAATCCAAAAAAAACAGCGGTTCCAATGCTTTTTGTGGCCTTGGCAATGATGTATTGATGCACACAAAGCACTAGTGTAGTAGGATTCACGTAGACCTAAGAAAACGTTGGCTCTTGAAAATGCAGTATTCAAAATTTTTCCTAGAAGTATCAATAAAAGTTCTCAAATGTCACTTCCCCCTTATTGGGCTTTTGATCAAAGATATCATATCTCGATCCTCTGAAAATATGCCTTTTAGCCAGCTTATGATTGTTAAAATATTAGTCATCTTTACGAAAAAAAATCAAATGTTTGTGGAAATAAACGATTCTTGCTTGAAGTATTTAATGTGGGAGAGCAAAGGTGATGCTACATAACCATAATACCCTTGTATCCTTACTGCAGTTTTCGATATTCTGCAAACTCGGTAGTTACAAGCTGTACGCTGAAATAGTATAATTTTTCGATGCCCTCAATCAAAAAAAAGGAAAAAAAAGCCATAGAAGGTGGCAGTGAACAACCAATTTCACAACAGGCCTTTAGAGTGTCTAAATTCGCAGAAGATGGAAAACCGCAGTAGTTTGGCCATGGGTGACCGAAATATTATATCATATAACCAAAGTACCCTTGAAGTGTTATCTTCTCGGACATGGGTAACCCAAATGGGAAACAATATAAAAATGGTGCCCTTGTATCCTGAAAAGACCCAGGGAATCATACCTGTACCTACCCTCAAATATAGAACAACCTTACAATTGGTTATTATGGCTTCGTTTTTAGTTCTCCAATAACCAAGGTAAGAAGACAAAAGAACCATGGTTATTATAGCTTCATTTTCGCACCCCAATAAACAAGGTACAGAGAGTGGTATAACTTGGTTATTATAGCTTCATTTTCGTTCCCCAATAACCAAGGTACAGAGAGTGGTATAACTTGGTTCATTTTCGTTTTCCAATAACCAAGGTACAGAGAGATGAATAACTTGATTATCATAGCTTCATTTTCGTTCCCCAATAACCAAGGTGCAGAGAGTGTATAACTTGGTTATTATAGCTTCATTTTCGTTCCACAATAAACAAGGTACAGAGAGTGGTATAACTTGGTTATTATAGCTTCATTTTCGTTCCCCAATAACTAAGTTACAGAGAGATGCATAACTTGGTTATTATATTATTGAAGCCAAAATAACCACGTTCGTCTTCTTTCTTACCGTGGTTATTTCCAGTCCAAAAATGAAGCCAAAATAACCACGGTCGTCTTCTTTCTTACCATGGTTATTTCCATGCGAAAAATGAAGCCAAAATAACCACGGTCGTCTTTTTTCTTACCGTGGTTATTTCCATGCCAAAAATGAAGCCAAAATAACCACGGTCGTCTTTTTTCTTACTTATTTTTTCAAAATACAGC